AATCTCCTGTGGAGTCGAGGCAGCCCCTTACATAGCATATTCTTTGATTCGTAAATTCCAAGCAAGTATGAGGACTAATCTGTAATTTCATTTCTTCTTTGTGAGCAGAACAAGACAAACACAATATGTAACTGGTGGATGCAATTTAGTCTGGATAACGTGGCCCAATCCTCCAATAGCTAGCAAGCATACCATGTAAATACAGAGCTCTGCTGCTCTATTCCTCATATATACAACCTTTCCATTTATGCATTTCCAATCTTCTCCTTGGAATTAAAATTCCAAAAATGGCAGTGTCAGCTGATCATTGCCGGATTTCGCTCTCCGCCCCAAGCCAACTGCGTGGGGCTGCCGGATTTTCGGGGAGGAGCCAGAGGGTTGTGAAGTTTTGCAATGGAGACTTGATGGGGAAGAAGCTGAACCTGACCCAGCTTCAGCTTGGGGCTGCTAATGTTAAAAAGAATGGTGGGGTTGGGCAACATGTTTGCATGTCTCTCACCACCGATTTGCCAGTTGGCGAGGCCAAGGTGAGCCTTTCCAAACTCACTACATACATACTGTCCCTAAAACATATACATGCATTGCAATTTGCATGCAGATTATGAATGTGCCTAAAACATAATTTGAATAGTCATGAGCATTGCTATTTGCATGTATGATTTTCTTAATATATTTTTATGAGATTTTTAACTTCTTTTTCCCCCACCACCACATCAAATTCCAAAAGGCAGCATTTAAATTCTAAAATCTTACAAGATCAATTGTTTTCTAAGTTCAAAATAAAATATTTTTCAATCAGTTAAGACCAGCATCCATCCTTTTATAAGAGGAGAATTGTTATGTTCAAGGAAGTAAAAAAATTTACTCCCACTATATTATGATGTTTTCAAATTTTATACTCGATTCGAAATCAATTGGTTAGAAAAGTGAGGCACATTAAGTTCGTACACGAAACTGTGCTTTTAATGGGGTTTTGGTTTGAGATGAATTCAAAATAAAGAAATTGAACTTACACCATTAAAATGGGAAATGGATTAAAGCACACAAAAAATCAGTTTGGGCTTTGATTTGATGAGAAGCCCATGGTGTGATATTACTAGCCCAATTAAATATGCACATGATAATATATGGACTTTGATATACGGGCTTGGGTGCATCTAACAGTTGAGGGACATAGATTTAGAGAAGCGGGACCCACGGACAGTTGTTGCGATCATACTGGGAGGTGGAGCTGGTACTCGGCTTTTCCCACTCACCAAGAGGCGCGCCAAACCTGCTGTAAGTCTCTCAACTTCACAAAACTTACCTACATCCCACTGTGACAAATTTCGAACTAATCACGTATTGTCACACATTCTAATTTTCCCATATGAAGTGGGTAATTGGTTTGAGATTCCAGTACAGTGAAATCTCCATTTCATGGAAGTTTTTTCTCCCGTAATGGCATTTTACAGCAGTTGATAAAACAATGTTAAAACTCAATCCTATTTGTGTTTTTTTTTCTGTTCTGAATTTTGTTGGGTTTCAAGTCCTTAGACACAGAAATGGAGTGGATTGGTTTTGTTACTGTTTCTGCATTTTAGGTCCCAATAGGGGGAGCATACAGGCTGATTGATGTGCCAATGAGCAACTGCATCAACAGTGGAATCAACAAAGTTTATATCCTCACTCAGTTCAACTCAGCATCACTCAACAGGCATATTTCCCGCGCTTACAACTTTGGCAGTGGCACCAGCTTTGGCGATGGTTACATAGAGGTATATGTTTCAACAAAATCATCAAGTAACTTTAACAAAATGTTGCACAGACCACATAAAGAGTCTAGCCTCTCTGCATTTATAAATTATATTTATGACAATGTATGTTCTGCAATATCACTTATAGCTCTTGTACTCCCTGCCAGGTTCTAGCAGCAACTCAAACTCCAGGGGAGGCAGGCCAGAAGTGGTTCCAGGGTACTGCAGACGCCGTGCGGCAGTTCCATTGGCTTTTCGAGGTACTAAAAAAATACAGGAATGCATTAAACAGATAACAATTTTTCAAAATGTTTTCTTTGTTTCTTATGCTTCTGTAAGAAAAAGTCAATGCACATCAAAGACAGAAAAATCTGAACTTCTTAACACTAAGTTATGGAGAAGTTGTAAACTTGAACAACTTAGAATGTGTGTAAGGCTTTCCTCTTGTCACAATTTGTGAAGGGAAATTGGGGTGGTTCACTGCATCAGGGAAGCCTTGAGTCT